GACAGCCCGGGCGGTGCCACCCCTGGGTGGTGCCTCTCTTTCCGCCCAGAGCTGTCAGAAGGCCGCCGTTTGTCAGCTTTTCCTTTTTGCAGGCGTCGGAAGAGGTAATAGTTTGGCTTTTCTTTAATAGTCTATAGATGTTGCTGTTCCTCACACCAGGGGACTGGGGCTGTAAGCTGAAAAACCGCCGAGCTAAATGAAAGTACACGAACTTACGGGTCTTCTTGAGAGACTTCAAACTAGCTGTAAGGTTTGAAGGCTTCACACCAGAGTCATACAGAGTATTTATAAAGGAATAAACCCTTATGAATGTTGGAAGCTCTGAAGCTGTGTTCTTCCACTGAGGAAGAAGTTTATCTGTTAACAGGAATCCTTGAATTTTATTTATTCTTGGAGTTCCTGTAATGTTACAGATGTCTTCTGTGATTCCTTTTCACTTTATAATCAAAGCCTGAATTGCTTACTAGTTGTGTGCTTGTCAGGGTGTGGAGTTAAGCAGTAAATGCCTTCACTAAGGATAAATTCTAGCAAAGATTTCGTTAACAGTTCTGTCCACTCTGACAATCCAGAGCCTTGCCCAAGCATGTGTCTCTTCTATTGTGGCTGTCGATGGCTTTTTACCAAGGCCTGTAGAGACAGGACGAGGGGCAGTGGTTTTAAACTGAAAGAGGGTAGATTTAGGTTGGACATAAGGAAGAAATTTTTTACCATAAGGGTGGTGAGACACTGGAACAGGTTGCCCAGAAAAGTTGTGGGTGCCCCATCATTGGAAGTATTCAAGGTCAGGTTGGACGGGGCTTTGAGCAACCTGATCTAGTGAAAGATGTCCCTGCCCATGGCAGGGGGGGTGGGCTACGTGACCTTTAAAGGTCCCTTCCAACCCAAATCATTCTATGACTGAGTTTTCTTTGTGCTAGCTTGCTCAAATTATTTTCTTGTTCTTGCTTAGTACCTACTACTGTGGTCCTGCTTCCCTCTAAATAAATAAAGTACAAATTGCTAAGCTTATTTTGTATCTTTTTTCAGTAGAGAAAATCATGGAAAGAAGAACATCATCTTCAAGTCATGTTGGTGTAAGTGTTCCTACAATTTGCAACAGTTTACTTTGAGGCTGTGGGTATCCTAGGGTGTTCTGATATATTTGCACAACCAAATTCATTCTCCAGTGGTCCAGCTTTTGTTTTTTGGAGCACTCTTTCCTGAGAAACAGTTTATTCTGGTAGCAGTCAATAGTAATGTCTGCTGTTGAACATGTTAATACCTGATAGGCTTAACACTTGATTGCACATAAACAGCGTGTTTTCAAGGATATTTTAAAACCTAAGCTAACATCTGAAATATTAAGAGTAATGCTCAAGTAAGTAGAGCAGCTGCATAATATCTAGTTATCTGCAGAGATGTGTTCAGAGGCTACTTATGTGCTAGTGTTTATTTTTTCTAAAATATCCCTATTAGTAGTAGTTTCTAACAATGGAAGCACCAGTGAAAACAAATTGTAGGCACAGCAACTGGTTTGATCGGGTAAGGTCTGGACTGTCTGGTGTTTTAGAAATAAGCTGTTTCCGGGACCTTGTTTATGCACTTTCTCTGACCCTTGCTCCTACAGGTGGGAACCTTCAGAAAAGTACTGCTGGTTTAGATGAGGAGACTGCTAAGTGTATGTGTTGAGTTAGTCACTTTCTATTAGGGAAAAGCCGAGGCAACTGCATACGTTACACTTACCATAGATACAGACCTCTGTTGGTTACCTCTTGACTTTGTGCTTGTTCCGTAAATTAATTGTGGGAACTGCAAACCAACATCTTCTTAATGAGGGCAAGCATTGGGAAGATATTGTATGGTGAGGTGGAAATTTTGCTGATGAATGTATCTTATGCTTTTTATCCCTTTCTGTCTGTCCATCTGTCTCTTTCTGTTTTCTGAGTCTGACCTTACCTGTTCTCAGTGTTATCTGTTATGTTATTACAGAGGTTATCTGAACCGCTGTAACTTCAAATGCATGTAAAAATTGTAGATAAATATATGTTCTTGGGAAACTCATAACAGAAACCACTAGTTGGGCAGCAGGTGGAGTTCTGAAGTAAGAAATTTGTACCTGGCTATTAAGGTGCAGATCAGAAGAATGCATTCTGACTGATAGAACATGTTTATAGGCCACTTCTCAAAAAAAAAAAAAATCCAACAATCTAATTGCAGATGTTCTTGAATAAGAAAATGTCTGTTTCAATCCTTAAATGTTGATTGAAAGGGAAGGGAGGTACTTGTATTAGAAGTTGTTGCCTGTGCATAACATTTACAGCCTTTATAATTTGAGGAGTCTGGTTTTAAAGGCATATTTGTTATTACAGTGTTTGACCAGCAAAAGCAGTTTGAGGTACCGTATAGAAATTCAGGTCTAATTACTAAAAAAAAAAAAAAATCTTTGTTTCAAAGAAGTGTAGAGAAGGAATAAGAGCACTCACAATTCAAACTGAAGAATTGAAGGATTATCTCATTATGGTACTAAGTATGCTTCAGTTATGGTCTGTCTGAAGGACTGCCTACAGAGCTAATGGATGCTGTTTCTGTGTTAATTATTAAGTTGTTAGCATTGCTGTTCTGGAGTCCTTGCTTGTAATTTCATGTTACAAGGTAGCGCATCTGGCAGCTTGCAGATTAAGTTCATAATACACTTGACAGTGGCCATCATGTGGAGTAGCTTTAGCTTTTTCCTGGCTGAGATAGACTCAGTTGTCTGAAAGAGGTAAATGTTGCATTCCCTCTCTGATACATTCTAATCTGGTCGTATTTGCAGTGTAAGGCTTTGTTTCTCAGGATACCTGGAGAAATGGCAAGGCTTGCACTTCTATTCTTTCAGTTGATACTTTTTTAACTGGTTTAATTAGCTGGTAGGAAATGTCACCCTCTTTCCTTGTCTTGATGAACTGGTAGGAATTTAGTTTGACCATTTTTGTTTTGAATTTCAATGAACGAACATTATTTCCTACATATTTTTTCTGAATTGGCAGATTTCTGTGAATTACTAACTGCTTTATCTTTCAATAATTACTTTGGAAACTCTGGTTCCATTTTTGCAAAGGTTGGCTATGACAATAGCTGATACCATTTTGAGTACATTGTAGTGTATTGATGCTAAATTATCATAGCAAAATACTCATTCTAAGATATAATTGCTCTTCATCCTGAATTTTTTTTTGAGAGCGCAAACCTGGTGTGACATTCGTCATGACATCCAGCTATTTTGTTTTCTCTTTATCATTCTCTAAGCTAAGATGATTAAACTAGAGTGTGAACAAATCAGAGGGAACTAAGAAAACTGTAAGTGCCAGTAGATTGGTTCTCACCTTTTGGGCACAGTTGTTGTAAAGTTAATGAAATAGGAAGAGCTTTTTCTTGCTTTTTAAGACAGTTCATGTGTTAAAACCAGCTCCTTGCGTGGTATGACACATGATTTAGGATCAAGCATCAGTGAGGAATGCATTGAAATTCAAGTCACAGGTCAGTGGTTCCCTTGCAACTTTGTTATTTTGCCTGACAGTTAAGAAAACTTTGTACGTGGCAGTATGTCAGCTCATAGCACCAGTAGTTTTATTATGTGTGTAACATCATCTATTTTCAGTTTCGTATACCAAAGAAGAAAACAAACACCAAGTCAGAGGATGTCCAAGTTCAGTCCCCTTTGGCAAGGCTCCCAGGCTCCCACCATTGGGACTACCCTTTAAAAGAGGTAAAGAGAAGTTCTTCGGAGTGTAAAGTGCGTAGAAGAATGTTATATCGGTTTTTTGTTCTGTTTTGGAGGCTGGATTTTTTTCAATACTGAGTGCTGCCTTGTGACCGGTATCTGACCCAGACTGTCTTGGAAAGAGACAAGTGTGTAGGTCTGAAATCTGCCTGCAAGCATACAGTTACAGAAGTGGAAGTCTCAGTGCCATATTGCCAGCCTAAATCATTAAAAAGCAGAGTTGGTCTTCAGGTGTAGTTTGACATTATCTTAAAAAATCATTAATTTAAAGGCAAATACAATATTTTTTTTAGTTAATTGTCTTCTGATTCCTGAACTTTTAGGTTATATTCAGGTCACTTACCAAACTTTTTTATATGATATGGAAATAATTTTTACACCGAGTTTTCCATTAGTCATTATTTGTATCCAAGAGCTTAAACTTTAAGAGAAAATATTAAGTACTGTATGGCTTTTGACAGAATTTTAGGTGCTAATACAAAAATACCTGATTTCAGTAATAAGACCAAAAGACTGTAAGAGTACTTACATGGCGTTTATCAAAAATGACTGTCTCGATCATCTCGGTCACATATAGAAGCAGATATTTGCTTCTACAAATCTGTTCCAAATTCAGTAAGCATTTTTGAAATGCCAAGTTTTGGAAACATATTTTGCTACTCTTGACTCCTTCAGCTCAGATTGAGAGTTTGTTGCTGGTTTTAGTGCTTTCAGAATCATGGGGCTGGACAAACAGGCTCCCCTACAGAGGAGTTTTAAAAACCTAATGAGGGAAGTTAGGAATTTTTTTACTTACCGTAGTGGTGATAGAGACCTGGGTCACACTTGGGAGGCCTGGTCATCTGAGCATGCTGCAATACAAACTCACTGTGTGGTCGCGTTCTATACTCTTAATACTTTAAGAGAAGGAGAAAAGGAGGCTGAGGGGAGACCTTACCGTGCTCTACAACTACCTGAAAGGAGGTTGTAGCAAGGTGGGGGTCAGTCTCTTCTCCCAAGTAACAAGTGATAGGACGAGAGGAAATGGCCTCAAGTTGCGACATGGTTTAGTGGGCATGGTGGTGTTGGGTCAACGGTTGGACTCGATGATCTTGGAGGTCTTTTCCAACCTTAATGACTTTATGATTCTATGAGCAGAGCATCCAATTACAATCAGGTTTTCAAGTCAGAAGTAATGTCTCCTGTGGTTACAAGCAGCAGCCTCTTAGGCAGAGCCAGACAGTACCTGTATGGAATTCTTCCTGTCTTTCTTTCTGCCTCTAAAAACAGTGATTAGACTGGATGAATTGAAAAATCTTTTTTTTCTTATTTCCTGTATATTGTCTGATTTTCCATTTCTTATTTTTCTTAGATGTGTCTATATATTTCAGACTTTTCCGTGTGGTAGAGGGCTCCATATGCTTTAAACACTGACTAGTTTTTATATTCTACTTTAAAAAAAAAAAAAAAGATTGCTCATGAGGTATCATAATTAAAAGAAATATTACTGTTTTAACCATACAAAGGTCTGTCCAGGTTGTATTTAGTGTTGCCAGGGTTTGCTCTATGTTTGAGAAATTTTGTGCAGCTTTCAGCAATTTGGGCATATAGGTCTCTTAACATGCTTGAAGACCAGTGCTCTGAGGTGAACTAGACAATGTTTGAAGGCAGGAGGAGGGGAGAGCACCTTCAAGGCAATTTCTTGCTGCCAGCTGTTTTAATAATGAGGGTATCTTCCATTACAGAGTTGGCCCCTATGGTAGGGAAAAGATTGATTTGGGATGCACCTTTCAGACTTCACTGAAGTATGTAAAATATGCGTGATCATGAATTTTTCAGATGCCTTTTCACGCCACTCTTAAACAGAAATGAAGTTAAGTTTGTATGCTTTCAGCCTGACTGGCATAATTTTCAAACATCTATTTAGTTTATTGTCTTTTATATTAAAAAAAGTGAGGAGAGATTAGGAGGAGGTGATGGCAGAGGGAGAGAGGTTTCTGGAATTGCAGAAATAACTGTATGTTTTGGTGGGACTTAAATAATTTAGTTTGAAAATACACATGCATTCTGGTAAGGTAAGAGAATTTGGAAAAAGTGAAGTCTTGCTGTTGCGGGTTTTGCCACCCAAGTACCAAACCTTCAAATTCCTTTTTCTTCTCAGAATTTTATATCTTTGAGTGGAATATAATTTGGTTAAATGCATGGAGTTAAAGAAAGTAGAGGTTATCTTGTGTATTTGTGATTATGTAAAACAGGCCTAATATTCAAGTCTCTGTTTGGGATAGTCCTCCTTTAAATAGGGAAATAATTGAATTGTCTGGTATTGTCAAATTTCTTTAGGAGAAGAAAGTTCCATTCAAGATCAGGTGGTACATGGGTGCTTTAGATCAAGCAAATTAATTCTTTGCAAAATTGTTGTATATACTCTTTGTGGCTCTACTTTATTTGATCAGTTGCATTGTTCTCTTTTCTAGTGTAATATGACATATTTATGTCTGTTGGAACCTGCCAATTTTATTTGTTTTATTTCAGTGGAAATTAAGTGCCAACAACAGAGAGTCTTCCACGAAAGGAAAAAGGCAAAAGGACTGCAACAGACACAGCTCTAATGATGAAGAATCAATTGGGTAAGAAGTCATCTGAAAATTAGTTCTTCTCTGTTTGTATATTCAGAGTTTCATAATCTTTCTTGAAGATGGGTGTCACTGGTCTCTAGCTAATTATTTGTGTCATGCAGAGATGGTTTTCAAGCTGTTAGGTAGCCCACCTTCAGAGAATCATGTTTCAGTGATTTAATGGCATTGTGAATTACGAAGCAACCATAACTTTTTCTTTGTTTTAACACAACACAAGACTGCGACATCAGAATGGGAATGCAACACTTACTAGAGGAATTACTGCTTGTTGACCTGCTTGGAATCCTGAAAAGTGTTCATTACTCTCTAAGTATAAATTATCATTCTAGCCCTAGATATTTTAGATATTTAGGAAGTTTCCCAGATTATCTTTTGCTTGTCACTTTTTGCTCTGTAGTCCACACTCATTAAGCTGGCTTTATCGACTCTTAAAAACAACAAAAAGAAAACCCAAGCAATAGGATGATTAGTAGGGGAAGGCAGTAAAAAAACTAGAGGTTTTTCACCTCTGTGTTATAGTCAACACACCTAAGTGAGTAAATAAGACTGCCGATGTGCCACTTTTGAGCTGAACTTATAAAAGATTCTGAATTTATTTTTCATACCTCCTCAGAGGCATAGCTGCTAGTTTACATGTAGTTACCTCAAAATGCTTCTCTCAGTAACTTTAACTGAGGGAGTGGCTCACAGGGTCAACCTAGCAGAACTTAAAAGCTGTGGTAATTGCAGTTTCCTGAGTTTTAATTATGCTGTGAAATGGTTGATACCTGGTATCAGTCTCTAAAGCTCTTTCAGTAAACTTTGAACAGACATTACAATGTTGAGGAGCTTAAAAAAAAAAAGCTACCTTTGGATCTGTTACATATGTGAACTTTGATATGTGAAAGACTTTCAAGTAGCATTTGTGGGTGTTCCATCATTTTTACCAAAATCCTTACCAGCACATTAGTGAGAAATGATTTAGACTGTAAAGGGACAGTAAGTATTCAGATGTTAAACCTATGCATTTTTCACTTTGTCAGAAAAAGATGTGTGTCTAGAAACTAGCTGGAGGTTCTCTGTAAAATAAACTTAATCTACTGTCTGCAAATAAAGCTTGTTCTAAATATTCCATTTGGGTACCCAGTGTTTCTCAGTAAGTCAAAATCGACACACTGACCTCATTGCATAATAAGTAGAAAGAGCACACAGGTTCTAAAGAGGTGGTGTTTGAGCAAAAGTCTAAGAACTGACAAAACTCAGGAGAGGTAAGTGTGAAGTGGCATGCCGAGTATCTTTCTAATGCAGAAGTTTCTCTGTTCCTTCTTCCCGTGAGGAATTTTTCATTTGCATCGAAAAGCAGGGAATAAGTCTAATGACAAACTCCTGTTAGCTCCTGATGTTTTAAAAACAGTCATCTTTATTGATAGGAGCTAATCTCAGATATTTAGGGAGGCACGTTTCATCTAAAGTGTTGCTTGAGCACTGTAATTGCCACTTAATTTTAGTCAGAAAGGACAAAGTGGATGTATTAGCACAAACCCACCTTCACTTGTGTTTTTAACTGAAGTTCTGGATTACAAAATTTAGTAGTTGATTGCTTCTGTCAGTCCTGTTGTGACATGAGACCATGGGGGCTGGAAGCAGTAACCACAGCTGCTCTCACTTGAACACCTCTGCTCATGGCCTTATGAAAGGTCACTGTCAGGTGATTTGTTTGTGATCCCAGACAGGGCTCTCAGTGCCGGTTAGTTCCCTAGTCCTTCTCATACGCTGGAGGCCTCTTACATGTTCCTATGATTATGTCTCAAAACAGATTAGGACTGTCATGGAATATGAATAGTTCCAATTTATTAGTGTCATTGCAGAAAGTTAGGTATGGTATTTATATAACGTCAATTATGTTTTGTATCCCACTTACAAAACTTTTTTATTGGCAAGGAAGGGGGTAACATTATTTCAAGGGTAGGTATCACCACTTGAAAATAGAGCTTACCTCAGCTGTATTACTCCTGCATTCTCTAAGAGGGAAATAAAAAGAAAAAAGGAACAAAATAGAACGCTATTTTGAAATCCAAGCTTCTTGTCCTGGTCTGTCAAGTTTTCTTTAGGGGGAGGGTGGGAAGAGTACTTAAATAAGATGCGTGTGATTCTTTCAGCTCAGTATTTTAAATGTTAATTGTAATACATGTCATGGCTGAATCAAGTACTGACACCATAGCAGTTGTTTTTTTGTGGCAATCATGTACATACTGGTTCCCCTTGCCCTGACAAGTGCATTTTGGCAGTAGTAACTTCCTGGTCCAGCAAAGTAAGGAGTTTAGTAGGGATGTTCATGTTTGCTGTTAAAACATTGACTTCTAATCAGTTGATGAAAGGTAAGGGCCTTGAAGCAGGAGGAAGACAGACAGAGGCTTTCTTCTCAACAGGGTGTAGTCAGTGAATGTGGCAATCAGAGTTTCCCGTTAATGATAGTGCATCGTGTTATTCCTTTGGGCTCTGAAAGGCCAAGGACCTCCTGAGCTGTGCATGTGTTGCAGAAGCTCAGATAGCTGGACACGCATCAAGTCTATTAGTGGCTTTATTCTGTAAACCCAGGACAGATGTTCAGCTTTTATGGGACCTGACGGGGTGACTCTCCCATGGTGTGTGGCATCCCACTGTCAAAATATTTATTTCCCAAAACTCGGGTTTACTAGTAGAAGAATGTAGGCATGAAGATGGTGGTGTAGACAATTAATAATAATTTACTCCAAAAGCAGTAGCCTCCAGGTCTCATTTTGATCACTTTCTAATACAAATTTGAGCAAATTGGAGCCAGTGGTTACAACACTGGTGTGTACACGAATATGATCATTGAGAAAGGAACTGGATCTAGCAGCTCTGGATTATTGGGTGAAATAGGGGTCAAACATTTTCCCCAAAGGGGTACAAACAATTAATAGCTTTTGGTCTTGTGCTTTGTAAGGTAGGATAATCCTTTTTTGCCTGTGAAAAGTGATGAGAGACTTGCCAGGAGCAGCTAACAGCATTTTTCAAAAAATATGTATTTTTTTGTCTGTTCCATCCTTAATGTGTAAGTATATTTTGATTACCTTTGCTTATGTATTTTTTCTGTTTTGTGGAGGTAGATAAGAGGGGGTACAGTAGGTGCTTGCTTTAGAAACAAAAATAGTCGCCATTTGGTTTTCCTTCACCAAGATGCCTCCAGTCTTACTGTTGTGCAGGTTACTTGCTGGGTCTGCTGGTGGGACTTGCTTTTAATGTATACTTCGCTTGCTTTTTTTCTGCTTGACACTAATATTTATCTTCTGAAATGTCTTTTGCATGACTTGCTCACTCTATTCTGTGGACAATTTAACAGGTAATTTAGGGATCTGTGTCCCAATCATCGCTTACAGATGTACAGGCTGGCTTAAGTGTAGATGTTTTTCCTGAATCTATTTTACGCCCAGTTTTAATGACATGATTTTTCAAGAAATGCCACCAGATGCCATTCCTCCTTTAGAAAGGGAAGCCATTGAAAGCTCTGAAGTCACTGTACAGCTCTGAAGATCGGGTCATAACCAGCTGTCCTATCAAGGTCTTCGGTCAAAAACTGGTGCCACGTAAGAAGTGATGCCTTAGCCTGGCACTGACATCTTTAAGAATAGCCAAATGTATACTGTTTTCTTCCTTGTTGTTTGTTGAAGTTTCCTTTTCTTTGCACAGGTTTCCAGTGCAAAGCTAGTTGCACGAGTACATGTGTGCTTTAAATTGTAAGATCATTTTTGCAAAGATACTTGCTGAAAATGTGTAAACCCCATTTAAATCAAGGGAGTGGGAAACATTACAAATTCTGTGCCTAATAACAATCAGTAAACCAAATTACGGAAGGGCCTGGAGCCTGTCAAGGTCTAGTCTGATGTGAATGTGAGCAAAGGATGTCAGACCTGAGTTTCCAAGGTGGCCAGCAAACTATAGGTAGTGAAATCCATTTTCACTGGAAATTCTGCTTCTGACTCCTTTACCTGCAGCTGTGGGCTTTCTCTGTCATGATGGTATTGTTAAAGACCCTAAAGGTTGGAATCTTTTCTGTTATCTTTACCAGTCCTGATCATACAATTAAAATAAAGACTCTGACTGTGTATGTTCCCACTGGACTAATTACTGTGTAAGTTCAGGCTAAATTTAGTAAAATTTCATTATGGTATCTTGTGTTTGACAAATAGAAAAAAAATCTGGCATTTCTACAAGGTGAAACAATGAAAACTGAAAGAATTTCGATCTAGGAAATAGACTGTTAGGCTCGGCATGATTCTAGTCAGGAGAACTGAAGTGTTCCACAGAGAGTAACGCATGTTGTCTCATGGTTGCTCTACAGTAATGATTTTAAAACTTTTTTTTTTTAAGGAGAAGCAATTTCTAATTCACATCTTCGTATTGCTAGGGCCCACTTCTGCAACTGTTTTCTATTTGGAGAAAAAATGCTATTTAAATACTTTAAGGTTTGATTGGTAATTTCAAGTCGTGTTAGGGGAAGAGGGGAAGTATCTGGCTTAGTCTTTCATTGTTTCATGTCTTCTGGCATCCCAAAAGATGAAATGTGTTTCCACTACAGTTCTTTAGTAACTGGACCTCTGAAGTAGTTTGGGTCTTCCTTATCTTTAAGGAGGAAATTAAAGCACAAGAGTAAATGTCTAGTTTCATAAGATGAATTTGCACGAGTTACTTGATGGCTTTTACCTTGAAATTGCCTTTAACTGCTTTAGTAGTTGTAAATTTTCTTAACAGTCTAATAGGTTCTTGTGTAGCTGAATTTTGAATTTTTATCACATTTCTTAAATGTGTATATTCTTTATTTCCTTCGCTATTGCTTATATATTCCTTATTTCTAATATACCTTACAGTTAGACAAACCACAAATGATATATAAGTCTGGTCGCTGTAAGTTCTTCTGATGTATTAAACTATGGTTAATGTGTCAACTCTGAACATTTTGAGAAGCCCAGAAAAAAGCTAGAACTTCTGACTTAGCGGGGACTTCTGTAGAAAATAAGTCTCTCGCTTCCTATGTTAAATTGAGAATGCTTTGCAGGCTTGGTATATGCTCACTAGGCTGCTACAGTTGGCCTCCACCATGTAAGACATTAGTGTTAACTAAACTGTCCCTCATGACCTGTATTTACTTTCTAAGCTTTTTCAGTAGTTAAAGCATATCTTTAAATGAAACTCCAATCTCTGGATCCTTGGAGTGTAGAACAAACTTTTTCTAGGTCTACAGTGTTCGAAGCACATGCTCAGAATTTGTAATAGGTTCTTAAAAACAACATTTTTTTGCATTAGTAGTCATAGAGTATATACACGTCTAGGTGAAAGAACAAATGTATGCCTGCCTCTTCCTGACTTTGCCTAAAAGATTCGGGAGTACACCTGTGGTTTAGGTCGGTCTTCTAATGAGACTGTCTTTGTACATATGACTTCTCATTGCCTTCATAGAGTGACTCTCTCACTTCAGAAACCCTGGATTGTTTTTCCAACAGCTAATTAGGACCCATCCCTTACATAACACTCTCTCCTCTGTCTAGATTCTTGGCATCAGAGTGCCTTAACTTAGGGTGGTTTTTTTTAATCCCTCAGCATTTTTTTTTTTTTTTGAGACAAAGCTTTAGTCTTTACCACTTAGAAGTTTCCCAAAGAAAAACTAAGAGAAGCCCAGGGAGCGGAGGAAACAGCCTTCACTTGAGCTTAAGTTAATTAGCTTTGAATGGGAACCATTTAGGTTTATTGTCCATTGTCTAGATAGTGGTCTCCAAGGTGTGGTGTGTGCAAGACAATCCATTGGGGTGCAGGAAGGAAACATTTTTTTTGTACAATTAATAAATAAAATAAATGTTTATCTTATCTTTATCGCATCCTTTTTAACTTTGTTTTATAATGTACATAATATTAGTACATCTATATAAATTATAGTTAAATAGACATGTTGAAGGTGCGTGCTCAAAATACTTTTACTGATAGGGGTGCATGATCAAAAAAGTTTGGAGACCACTGGTCTAGGAAATGCATAGCAGAGCTCTAAGAGTAAGCAGCTCATTGCATACACATTATGGCATTCAGTGATGCAGAGCTCTGATAAAATTGACCCGCATTCATAGCTTATATGCAGGTTTTCCAAGCTGTGCATAGGAACCTTACTGTCTTTTTCAAGTTCAATGACGGGTCATGTGTCTTGTTAACATGGTAAGTAACCAGGGAAAAGAAGTCTCAACACGCAGCAACTACCGTAAGGACAAAATACAAGGATTATGTGAAACGTCTTCCCCAAGTTCAACGTGTTTCACTAGCATGGCAGTTCCAAATCTTTTTTTAGGTTCAAGCATATCTGTGCTTCAGCAGTTTTCATGCCATACCCATTTGTTTACCACTAGGTAGCATGTAAGCATGCTGTTGAGCTGAATGCAGCATGTCAGTGGGACAACTATAATTTCCTAAAAGTTGCTTGCACAGTTGTTAACCCACTGAGGAATAGCAGCCATTTGCTTAAGAAATGTCACTGTAGCATGCATGTAACAGCTATGTGAGTAGTAAAAGGCTTTCTGTAGCTATAAAAGAAGGATTCTTGCTCTACGCTGTGAACGATTTAGTTTGTTACACAAGACATGCAATAGAAAAAGCAATTCTTGCCTCGGTAATCTTTTAAAACCAATAAATGAGCCTGAACTTCAGTGTCCTCTTAGGACCAGTCCTGGGAAAACAAGTCCAATTCTCATCTGTTTGAAAATAAAGTCAATCCTGACATATCATCTATGATATATAATGCTTATTGGCTTATAAGGAAACTGTCCAAATTACTGGCCATGCTGCAGAATTAATTATTTGTGTGAAGACTTCAGTACCAATCTAGCAGAATCGGCAAAGTATAGATACTGGTTTAAAGAACTTCAACAGGGAGTTTTTACTAACTTTGTAATTCCTAATTGTATGTAATTTCTTTAGTGAAATTGAGTAGAAATCAGTTGGAACTTCAAAAGTGAGAGATTGTACTAGCTTCCTGATATGTTTGGTTTTTTTTTCCCCAGCAAGATCATAATCTAATTTGTGATATGGGAACCAATAACATTCATGGTTCTAAAATAAGATGCCACAGTATGAGTGCTTGTTTTCATATCCTGCAAAAGCTCAAGTGTACGCTTTCAGAACAGTTTGTAAGGCCATAGTGACTACTTCCAACATTTTGCAATAAAAAGATGCACCAAAATTTCCATGCTTCTGCACTGAAAGTTTACCTCTTCAGAATCACATATGGATGTGTTAGTAATTGATGCCAGAAGAAGAAACCTTGAAAGGCTGTCCTGATCAAGAGACGTGTTTGTGATTCCTTTTCTCCAAGGGGAACTGCTTTGTAAATTGTCAGGGAGGTGAACTTAATTCTAACGAAGACATAAGGTATGATGCAGAGACAGTAAACTCATAGAAAAGCTTTGTTCAATTCATGTGACTTCAGAAGTTCTCAGCACCCTATTATTAATTTATCATTATATGTATGGCAGGCAACCCAAAGTTATCTTGACGAATGTCCTGAGGATGAAAATAGGAAGAAAATACACACAGGCGCAACCTAAAACTGGTGCTAATTTTTCTGATGCTGGCAAGCTGCAGTCAGATCAACCGCCTTCATCATCTGCTGCCAGCCTAAAGATATGGCAAATTTTAAACCCTACTCTCCAAAGCCTTTTTCTGTCTAAAAGGTACGTTGTCTTTGCCTCGTGTCACGAAACAAAATAATTTTCCTTGCAGTTGTTTTTTCATGAGAAAGTATTCTTTGTTGTACCACAGCTGTCTTTTTCATGAACTATATTCTCATGTCATTTGACTTTACTGAATTCCCTTGTACCTGGTTCCTTTTGATAATCATTGAGAGAGATGGTGCCAGGCATGCTGTAGTGGGTTTTCTGATCGGATGGCTTCTATATGGTCCTGTACTGACAAGACCAGTGAATTCTGATTCAGCCATTGGACTCAAAATGTTTGGGTTTTTTTATTCTTGTGAAAAGAAGAGTACACGTGCATTTAACTGCCCTCTTTTTTCAGAGGAGGTATCAAGGTGTATTTTCACTGTTAACCATTTCAGATTACACATGAAAATATGAGAACTGGCATAAAGGGTCAGAAGAAAAGCACACCAAATCCAGTATCTTCCTCCCCTGCCAAGCAGTGGTTGATTGCAGATACCTAGGGAAAAGTATGGCCAGAGCAAATGCTTTTTTCACTGAGTTTTCTCTCTGAGCTGATGATGATCAACAGTTTAGGGGCTTCCTTTAGTGGAGGTTACATCCAGACTACAGTGTTCTTCTATATTAGACTTTTCCTCTCAATCATATCCTCATTGCTTATCACCTGTGTGCCTCTGCAATATCTTGTCTGTAAGGTGGTCTCCTGGTTAAAAGCAAATTTACATCTTGGTGCACGAGGAGATCTGAGTGCTCCCCAGACCTCACGCAGTCTGTGCTGGAGTGTACTTTGTGGATGAATACAGACAACAGGAGAACTATGCAGTCGATACCCAAAAGACAATGTTGTTCATAACAGATTCAAAAAAGGCCATGGCATTACATCCTAATCCAAAATAAATTGCAATGGAAGTGGTAGAATTTAAATCCCAGTTTGAGAAACTAAGTGGGTAAATCAAAGGCTCTACAAGCTGGCTGCAGTAGCATTGTATGAAGTAAGTTGTGCTGTTCTTACACATCTGTGGTCAAATGGGCAGTTGCATCTTCATATTTCTGTTTAGCTTTTTTTTGATGCTTGTCTCTTCTAACACTTGCAGATGTTTTTCTGAGTCTTGCTGTTGCTATTCTGTAGAATGCTACCTGGAGGTTGAGGAGGGGAACAAAATCTAATGCTACCTTTTTGTGTGTGTGCTACTTTTCTACCTGTTGACTAAGTGCTTGAGAAAATGCAGTCTATTTTACTGGAGGCTTCTTGTTCACAGGAAAATCAAGATTGTTTGCTCCATAGTTCTGAGAAATGTGTACAGATGTTGCATGAAAGCTATTCAGAGACAAACATTTACTAGTTTTTAAACAATAGTTAGATGATGTGTTAGATGCAATGCAGTGTGAATTGTATCTGGCTAAGGTGAAATTTTATGGCTAGCGTTTCTTACCCTGGTCTCTTGTTGCTTTTTTGTGTTTATCTGCTTACCTTGGATTTTCAGTTCGTTAGTGGGATATTGTTTTGTCTCTAAGGGACTGAAAGTAATGAAGTTTGATGATTATCAAGCCTCTGAGATATATGAATTTAACAGTAAGTTTCTTTCTCTAGATTTCAGTGCAGTATTTATGATTTACTGTTATATATATATATGGCAGGCATCCCAAAGTTATTTTGACGAATGTCCTGAGGACGAAAATTGGAAGAAAATACATAGACAGCCACGTAATAATTGGTGCAAATTTATCTGATGCTGACAAATTACAATCGGGTCAACTACCCTCATCATCTGTTGCCAGCCTACAGACATGTCAAATATTAAGTTCTCCTCATGAAAGTTCTTTTCTGTCTGAAAGGTATGTTACTCACTGCTGATTTTGCCAGTCTTCCTGAAATGACATAGCTTCACAATGGAAAAGAATTTCCCTGAAATAATTTTTGTTATACTCTTGTGTTGAAGCAGGAGATCAGTTTCCTGAGTGCAAACTAACATGCTGCTCCAGCGAGCCATTTTAACATTGCATTTATTCTGATTTGCTGTACTTGATGTTAATAGGCTAGTTTTCTTTCATAGAAGGAATTTCCATTTACAATGGATCAGTGTTTTGATTTGTGAAGATGGCCATGTAATTCAAACACATTTAAGTTGGTTTTGTGTCCAGAACCAAAATCTTGCTTTCCCATTGCTGTTAATGTGGTCTAGCATGATTTCAAGTAACTTCTTTTGCAAAATTTCTCCAAATTCCTCTCTGTGATAGTTCATTTCTTTTCACATTAATCCACCAGTGTTCTCAATCCCAACAGAGTGCCATTGTTTAAGGGCTGTGTGTGTGTCCTCTCATTGCTTAACACCTACTTTTCCTCTTTTCTTCCTATGTTTAGGGTTGACTGAGCTTCACAGTAACTCTTGACATATAAAGCTAGCAGAAATCAGATATTAGAATTATATAATGTTTGTTTTGGTCTAAAATAGCAGTTGAATTCAGATTAAGTTGTTTCCTCTTGTCTTTTATGGCTGCCTCTTTGCTTAACAGCAAAGTATCCACAGGAACGAATAGCAAGAAATTTGGGGGAAGAAAATAGGAAGGAAAAGAAGAATGATTTGTGAGGGCAGGAATAATCAACAGTTCCCAGGTTAAAGAAATCTTAAAAATTCTTGAGAAAAGTAAGTCATATTCCTCATTCTGATACATGAACATCTTGGAGAACCTAAATTAGTAAGAATTCCTTTCTCTTTTTCTGTTGGGATCCCCGTTGCTGCTTAAATTAATCTGACAAAGCTGCAATTTAAATGAGGGATTTAGAACAGTTTATTAGACTGTCTCATTTTAGAAGTATTACATTTGTTGCTAGTAAGTAGTTTTCCATAACTTTAGGCTGACTAAAGTGTGGGGAGTTTGTTTGGATTGTCGGGTTTTTTTTTTGTTTTACTACAAAATCTTTAAGATCTATAATTTTAGTATCCAATTTTTCCGCTTGGTATTGTTTTGAATGGTGGGAGGTAGTGGGCTCATAGAGAGGAAAGCATGAACTCCTGTGTGTAACTCTCTAAATCTGAGGAAACATCTTGCATGTTTTTTCAAGCTCGTATCTGAAGGGCAGCTGTTGAGTTTTATGTTAAGCACAAGCATGGCTTGAAATAGTCAGTTTTTTAGTAGTTGGTATACTCAGCTTGCTTTAGATTTGGAATGGTTCATTGCTTGAAGGATTAATTTTCCATTCCTGTGATATGCTTTTCTAATGTATTAAGTAAAGGGCTTGTTATTAGCAGGAATCAACATTAGGAGGATTTTCCACCCCTCCCCAGTGACCAGCATGTTAGTGCAAGTTGCTCCCAATCACGTGGGAAATGGAGAATTTAGGAATTATTTCAACACAGATGTGGTTTGATCCTGGTCACCTCTATGTAACTAAGAGGAGATTAAAAGCTCCCCCCTTATAATGGTAATGCATATATATGCACATGGCCATATAGAGATTGTTTTGTATCGTCAGAGTAGGTAGAATGCACGCTCTGTTTTAGTGAAAATTGTGCCATTTTTGTACTATGGAAATTTCAGATTAAGTCAAAGAATTGTCTGTGATCAGGACAGGGTGGTAATAAGTTAACCTTCCTCTATCAGCTAGAACTTGATGCGAGTTCCCTGTTTCCTTTCTTGCTTTTGGTATTACGGAATTGGTGGATATTGCATTGCTTGTTCACTGCAACCCAGTGTGAAATGCATTTGCTTAAGTCACTGCTGACCTATCAGTATAACTAACGAATTTGAGGTAGGTCTTAAATGTAAAGAAGCTTAGGGTTTTAAAGTGTGTTTCGTACTTGTTTCTCATGGCTGTTCAGAATACTTCAGTATATACTGCTATAGCTTCTTAGCTTATGCATATATCTGTTAAGAGGTGCATTTTAAACTGAGTTATCAGCAAAGATTGGAAGTGAAAATAAAATGTACAGAATTTGTTTATAGAGTAAATATGTTTAGGGAAGTCTATTAGCTGAAACATTCCTATTGAAATGTTTCCTATTGTTGAAATGCCTGAATTGTGATGTTGGTGTAAAACAAATGCTAAAAGCCACTTAATGGTTTTGTATGGTCTTTTAAGGCAGTCAAATCTATATAGCTGTTATGCATACAAATATTTAAGTCGGGAGAAAGATGTGGGTTCCAAAATCAAGTTTTCTGTAGTGAGGTTATTCCTGAACTAGAGCTGCCTATCTATGGAAGACTGTCTTGTTCAATATACAGAATGAATAATAGCGCTTACTGAACACCTTTTCTGTATATAGTCCAATTCATGATTCTTTGTGAATGGAAAAATAATCAGTAATTTCTTCACGGTGCTCATATACTGTTCATCACTATAGTATCAGAGCACTCTGGAAATCTTTATTTGTCTTTACAGTATTCCCAAAGAGCAACGATACTCCGATCTACAGATACGGCACTGAAGAATAGGCCTCTGTTCAGAAAGTGTCCAACAGTTTTGGCTATCTAGTTAGAGATGTCAAGAATGTTCTTTCCCATGGTTGGTGATGTTCTTTACGGGTCCAGGCTCAGCTGTCAGTGATTTCAGTCATTGTGATGATTGCTTAGCTCTTTGCAAATTGGAGACTGCAACATTCTGAGTTAGGCACATTATAAAACAAAGAACACAATCCCTTTGGATTAAGTGAGGTGACAAAAGGAGAAATGGAACAGATTTTCCAGAGCAGCATTAAATTGCTTTATCTATGAAATCTTCTTTATTTTTTATTTTCCAACTCTCACAGATAATGAAGCAGAGGTCATGAAGGTTAGTTTCTTTTATCTTGTAACCCTGATAAATTTTCAGAAGAGAAGTCCTGCATACTGAATGTAATTAAGTGCATGTGAGAAAATATCACGTGAACATATAACTAAATCTTATCCTAATGCATACACTAGAAACCAAAATACAGTTATGTAGACTTTTGTCAGCTGTAACTAGCCTCCAGAGAAGTTGAGAATAGGTTTACAAGATCAGACCTCAAATGTGAGGATGTCATACTGTTCAGTCTATCAGTACCTCCTGAATATATTCTCCTATTTATAAAAAAGCTAATTAAAAAAAAACCCCAACAAACCCTGATTACTTTCTTGCATGTCCTTCTTTTTAGAATGAAACTACAAACTCAGCTGAACACCTGTAGGTTGCTTAGTTTCTCGTACTGTAATCCTTTTCTGTTTCTTTTCTGTTTCTTCCTCATTCATGTCCTGTCCCTCCCACCTCCTTCAAAGTTACTGTTTCAGGCCCTTTTGAGCAGGAATTTCTATTTCAAATCTCTTCTCGTTGCAGGAACTTACTCAGTGGATTCTATTAGCAGTTCTAAATCTAAATTAAAAATATACTACATTGCCTCATTCCCACCGCATTCATGACAAAGGCAAGGATACACTCAACTGACTGTTGTTCTCTTTTTTTTTGTTATGTGTTCTTGTTGCAGTCATGCTTTACAACAAAATAATATTTCAGTGCCTGATGTCAAGCATGTCAGACTTCCATTCTTTGTGCCTTTTAGAAGCATCCGTTTCATTAATAATGTCAGAGTATCTGTGTATTTCCATAATGGGAACTGAATTGGTTTGTGTTTCATTTGCCAAGCTCCACATGCTTACGAGAGAGGCAGAAGTTTGTGGTCTAACCAACTCTTGTTTCTGTTAGGATTTTTATTCAGTATTCGTTCAAAATTAAAGATAAGTCATAGTTAATTTTCTTTACAGGTCTGAGCATTGCCTGAGAAAGACAGATGATGATCTGTGTAAATTGACCAAGGCTTCTAAGGAACCAGAAAAAAATAATGTCTTCACTTTTAGAAGACGGGAGCTGCAGAAGAAAGGTTTGTAGTGATCAATAATCTGGCATTTAAATACGAATTTTGGAGAGTACTGGGAAATTTTCTTTTTTTAGTCTAGTATTATTAAGAGAGCACAGAAATAAAATAGGTGTTGCATGCAGTGTATGTGTTTCCTCAAAAGGCAGTTTTTTACAGATATGGTAAAATATATCAAATAGCTGTTTTTAAATAGGAATAAAGCTATGGTGAGTCAGATCTGTGGAAGAAAAAGGAAACTGAGGGAAGCCTCGCTGCACCGTTATAATCCTGATTTTATAAAAAGTCTTTTATACTCAAGAATGTAATACATTAAGAATGCTCAAATGGTTTGTGAGCCCTGCTAAAATGTTTATTCTATATGACAATATTTGTATTTACTGCTGAAAAATTATGAGCTCTATGCTGAGTCTCCAGGGAGAACGTACTATCTTTTTAATACTGGTCAGTAATATTTGCAGGTTAGAACAGGAAATGGAGAATATTGCATCCAGCAGAAGATAAAAACTGTGGAGTGTGGAGTGCTAATTCTTACTTGGAAGGGAGCTATGAATTTGGTTATATCCTTATCTTAACTAATTCTGCAATAGTAATCTTTCCTTAATTATTTTAGGGAATATATTTGGGCAGCCACAAACAATTAAAAAAGGAAAGAACTATCATGGAAGGTATCTGCTTCCATGCATTTTAGTTAAGACATAACAGATACGAAGAAATACAAAGGTTTTTAAGGATAACGCATTAAATTACTTTTTTTTTTTTGACACAGAAAACAAGAACTATGATGAACTGGAAAAGAGGAGCAGAAACATGAACAGCACCACTCTTAGTCAGAAGCAATTGGGCTCTTTTGATTCTGAGAAAAGGAAAAGAAGATCTAGTGGCCATATTTCTGATGATTGTAATGCACACATTCCAGAAAAATCACTTCTACTGTCTGTAAGTTGCACTTTAATGTATGCGTTTGTGTACGCACATGTACACACACTTCAGCAGCAGCAGTAGCAACATCCAAAATAAAAGAATTATACTAATAAGTAGGGTATCTAGGGATACTGTTATACCTGTTGAAGAAAAGTAGTTCAGTGGTGCATCAGGAAGAGTGAGTATATGTACTTCTGTCCACAACATCAGAATACGCTTGTTGTAGCAGAAAGGTGGTGAGAGATGAATGAGAGTGTTTCCTTCAGACAGAAGCATGGACTAGAACAATTTAGGAAATAAGGCATCTAGCTACTTAAGTGAAGCTTCTTTCACAGATGGTATAGAACTAATTAGGGACTTTGATACAAAAATTACAAAGTATACTCTGGGGTTATTGAGGCCTTGCAGATGTCATCTTTCTCCTTCCTCCTCAGTCTATCGTACTGTTCCCTAAAGTTTTGTTCTTATCTGTCATTAAGATTTGAAAGAAAAAAAAAAAAGAAAAAAAGACTCAGGGAATCAGTCAGTCAAGTACAAACTGTGATTTATATTCAAGCACTTGAATACAATGAAGGCATCTCTGTAACCTTCTGATTAAAACCTCACAGAAGTAGGTAGTTGCTGAGTCCTGTTCACCCAGTTGACCAAGCCACACATTTGCAAAGTAATGAACATCACTGGTGCTTGGTCTTTCAGTGTCAGACAGTGAGAGAGCTGCTAAAAAATAAGAAATAGTTTCTTGTTCAGTTTGAATGAGGGTCATAGACTTTTAAAAGGTTGTCCCTCATACCTTTATCTAATAACCTTCGGAATACGAGGAGGGAGAAGTTACCCTGACTTGAGCTCTAAATGCAGCTGCATTAGCTATAATTATTTTGTCTAGCACATAGCTAAGTCTCAGTGATCACTGATCTGAACCATCATAGAAATGTCAAGAAATAAACACATATCCTGTCTCTGATTCCTGTTTTCTAGGAAGAGCAAAGATTGAGTTTAACTCAGTCTCCTGGCCTCAGAACATCCTGTGAGGATGGACGAAGTCGCAGATCTAATACAATTCTGGTGCCAGATTGTATTCTGCAGCCATTAGAGAGAGGCTATAAAGACAATTCTACCCACAACCACTTAAGGCCTGCTCACAGCTGCACAGAGGAACCTGGCTCAGAGCGTCCTCCCAGAAATTTGTCAGAGAAACAGCTTTCTGCCACCGGTGAGGATGTGATTTCACCACGAGTTAGTACCATCAGGAAATTAAAGACGGACACATCACAGTACCTGAGCAAGCTGCGGAGCAGCATCCGCAGGGGTAATCGGCAACTTGTTTCAGTTGACCCAAGTATGTACTGTATATGTGATGCTGACAATTACTATTGGTATGCTTAGGTACTAGGAGAACTCATGCATGACTGACTAGTGGAAACATATGGAACAAAAGATTGAAGACAGAGATCATGTTGTTTGTAATGCGTTGTGCGGGTTAGAGAACGGTGCCTAGTGCCAGTGTCCTCTATGGGAGTGTAGAGAGTCCTGTATTTGAGAAACAGGAGAGACAGCAGGATTTTCACATTCCAATCCTTATTTTGCAGCTGATTTTGTGGCTGTGGAAAATCAAGCTTGTACTTTTTAATGATGGTTAAACTGAGAAAAAATATTCTCTCTTCTTTGAAGCAGCTATGTTGTGGCCTGTTTCTTTTAATAGTCAAATAATTTTGAGGATCTTGGGTAAAAAGTGTTAATAAAGATATAAAGCAGTACTTGTTGCATACACTTTTGTGCATGCAGACCTTGACTGGTTTGGGCAGTGTACTTTGATATTACATACTGCAAGAGAGAATTCTTTGCTCATCTGAAATCCGCAGTGAATGAAACATTCTCAAGTCTGCATCTTGTAGTATATGTATTCTTCTTTTTTCCTCTTTAGTTGTCCTTTCCAGTGACGATGAAGATGGACCTTCTGAACCAAAACGCACAGAGCTGCTGCAGGATAATTTCACTGACAATAAAGAAACAGACAAACAGTCTGACTTCTGTTTCTCAGCAAAGCAATTGGAAGACAAGATGGAAAGTCACACAGAGCAGGTAGTCCAGTTTTTGGCCTATGTATTGTTATACCAACCCTTTAATTTATTTCTCCAATGTTTTATTTTTTCTTGCATGTTAGAACAAAAGTGAAATGCTTAGAGCAGGTGTGATTAGTCCCAGCAACAAGCAGTAGCTGCAGTAATTTGTTTCGCAGATACAATTCTGGACAGTCTTCAGAGAAGATCTCTGGCTCTGAAGCTTGAGTGTTTTTGCAACATACAATGTATTTCATATTTTGAAAATAAACATTTGGAAATGTTTAATATTACAAACAAGGATCAAATAGTAATCTGAGCTAGAGGTGAACATGATGAAGATAATCTGTGAAAAGTTTCTTTCAGACAACGTTTTATATTGATCGTAGTTTAAGTCAGTAGTTTCTTCTTGTTATCTAGTCCTCTGTTTTAATTCAGTGCATGGAGAAGTTCAAGGATCTTTGTTGACAGCAGACAGAGATAGGGTAAAGTTCCCTTCCCTGTGTGGCTAGCAGTGGAATTTGAATCTAAAACTAGCCATAAAGGTTGCTGCCCCATTTTGGACTTGATTAGCCTTGTGCTGCCTGCTTTGACCTGGATTTGGGTTTGTCCTGGTTTCGGCAGGGATAGAGTTAATTTCCTTTCTAGTAGCTGGTACAGTGTTTTGGATTTAGGATGAGAACAAAGCTGATAAAGCACCGATGTTTTAGTTGTTGCTAAGCAGTGCTTACACTAGCCAAGGACTTTTCAGCTTCCCATGCTCTACCGACTGAGAAGGCTGAAGGTGCACAAGAAGCTGGGAGGGGGCACAGCCAAACTGGCCAAAGGGACATTCCATACTATGTGACGTCATGCTCAGTGCATAAACTGGGGAAAGCTGGCTGGGGGGGGCCGCTGCTCGGGGACTGTCTGGGCATCGGTCGGCAGGTGGTGAGCAATTGTACTGTGCATCACTTGTTTTGTGTATTATTATTATCATCATTTTATTTCAATTATTAAACTGTTTTTATCTCAACCCACGAGTTTTTCTAACTTGTGCTCTTCCAATTCTCTCCCCCATCCCACCGGGTGGGGGGGAGTGAGCGAGCAGCTGCGTGGTGCTTAGTTGCCGACTGAAATTAAACCACGACAGGGTTATTTCTGTAATCCTGAAACAAGTCAGAAAAGCCATTGCTGCCTCTTCTTACAGATGCATCATTTTGATCCTAAGCACTGAATTAGAGTCTGTACCTTTGATATCAAAAGAGGGATATTTTTTGTTGCTCTGTTTGAGTTTTTACTTGGCTGTAGATTAATAAAGAGCACAAGTTATGTCTTGGCAATGGGAACTTCAGAGGTGGAGTAAGATACTGTTAGGCCCTTAAGGACGTTGTCAGTAATGAATGTAATAACATCTACAGCTTTTTAATATGAAATTCTTATATGGAAATTGGCTTTGGGAGTAAATTCTTAAAAATATAAAGAGAAAATTCCTAAGGTTACAGGAGGGAAGTGTCTCATTTAAATCCCTGTAGTAAATATACTTTTTTTTCCAGTTTTTAACAGAGTCAATTGAAGATAAATGTCCTGTCAGCTTACCTTCTGAAAGCACACCTAGAAAACAGATGAACCCAGCATTGGATGTTGAATTTGATAGTGTATACATAGGGAAATTTAAATGGTTATCAACAGGTCCTGCTAGGGTAAGTTGTTCTATTATGGTGATATTTTGAGAATATTTAAAAATTAAAATTCTGGTTAAGCAAAGCTAGTGGTACTTAGTGTGGAAGCACTGAGTTTTGATTATTGTTGCATAAAATTGCTTTGGCTAAATGATGGAGTGCATAGTCCATGACCTCATACGTTTGGATTGCTGTCAGTAGAAAAGCTAACTGTGATTTTCTGTGGCTCCAGTTTTCAGAGGAAAAGGTTCTGTATAAATGCTGTACTGGAACAGAAATGACACTGAGGAAGCCTTTCACAAATTCTAGCGGAAAAATAATGGCTATGTTAGAGTTAACGTCACTTGAAATAAACAACAATTACTTTTCTCGGAAATAGTACAGATATTAGAATAAAGTAATCCATGGTGATCAGAGTTCAGATATATACTATGTGCTAATCTTTCCTTTGAAACAGAAAATTGCTTGTTTTGTAGCTTTAAAGAGCATAAAAACAACACTAAAAGCATTAACACATAAGCAACGTGCTACTCACAGGGTGTAGAAATGTAAGTGAAGGTGTACTTCAAATGGAGTACCAGCTGCAGGAGTTTCAACAGGTCTTTGACCAGGCTCATTCTAGATATTGCAATTGAAAAATAAATGTTTGAACATGTATATCTTTTTTTGCTTACAGTAAGACATTTTGAAATCTTGGATTGTAATAATAATTTCAGCTTTTCACAGAACAGTTTTGTGCAGCAGTGCTCATGTAGTAATTAAAACACTTCATAGAAATTTTCTAAATTAATATGCCAAAATCATTTGAGAGATGAGTTGAAATATTTTTAGAATCAATGCTTTTAGGTGGAAAATGAAATTTTTCCTTGGAAAAAACAACTTTGTGCTTACTGTGGTAACGTAAGAGAAACCTCTTCACTCAGTGTATATGACAACCTTCTGCCAAAGTGACAATAAAGTATTCTTTATTTACCCGAGTCTTTTTAACGTAGCAGCAGCGTAAGTGGAAACTCTAAAGGCCTTTAATTCAAAGGTTAATGTAAATAGCAAAGTAACCCCCCAGTGTTGGACCATTTATATAGTGTCCTTAATTCAAATAGTGCAGCTGACTGTCTTTGTTATGGGGTGCTTACAAATAAGCTCCTTTTGTCCCAAGTGTTCATCATTCTTTTTCTTCTTAAGGAGCCTGTAGGCAGCTCTGCAACTTTCTGCTTACTTCTCAGTGCTGAGCACCTCTGGAAGTCATTTTTCTGTCATTCAGATTCTGCAATATATATTTAGGAGTGTTGTTTTAGGTAAAATAGGCAATATTAAGTCTCAAATTAGGCATATTGGACTTGGCAGTGTTAGGTTAACGGTTGGACTCAATGATCTTAAGGGTCTTTTCCAACCTAAATGATTCTGTGATACTATTTTCATTTTATTTGGCCATAAGCGAAGAAAGATGTGCAGATAATTAAAAATTCTTACTTTGTTTTAATCAATTTGTAAAAAGCAAACTAATTTTTTTTTTTTAATCTTATTTCAGTTTACAACCAAGTATATTACAATCCCATTTCAGGGTAAGAGAATTTTTTTCTTTAGCCTTCTCTTAACTATATCTTTAAAGTATTGCATTAAAATACTCGGTATATATTTATATTATGAATAATTTATAATCTTACTTGCTTTCACATAGACCTTAAATAATTTTTTAAATTTATATTTTTCAATAAATAACAAGTATTGGTGTCGGTAGTGTAAGCATTAATATCTTAGCAGCTTCTTACGCTTTTAAGGTGAACTTGTAGTTTTAATGGCCTTGCCTCCCGCATTCCTGCATATATTGTGTTGAACTATAGCAAATATGACTATGCATGTTTTTGAGGTGAAACATTAATCTTTTCAGATTAGTGTTTTAGACCCTTAGGTTTATGAAAGAAAAATGTATGAGTTGACTAAAGCTAAGAGGAATGTAACTGTAGATTTGTATTCAGTCCATTTTCCAAAGATGATGTGTGGTTTCTGTATCTTGTAGGAGAAGGTTTGTGAGCAATTCTGAATTGGGTTGACTAAAAGCAAATAGGAGTTAATGATTTGCAATATTTTTTTCTATATTTATAGGTATTAACTGTGGTTATTCTGAGAAAAAAACAGTTTTTTTTTTCATTAAGAACCCTGCATTTAGTTGTTTAGCTTTTGGTGTTACAGTTTGGTAACTTTGTTTTATGTAGTTTGATATAACTGATTTAAGTATTAAATTCTCAACACGTTTTATGTAGTGCCAGGAATAAAATCTACAAGTACTGTTGTAATACACTCTGATTGTACTTACATCTTAGTATGTAATTACTATAACATGTATGACTTTATAATTACCCATGGCCGTGAAAGATATGGTTATTTTAAATTCTATTTTCTACAGTGGCTCTTAATAAGAATATTAAGCTGACAGTGGATACTCTGGATCTGAGAAGGTTTGGCTTGTGGAGAAGTGATGGTGGCTGTTCTTCAACAACGATCATTTTCCTTTGGTTGTCTGTGGATTATGTAGAAAAGATTGAAACCCAATTAGGAAAGTTAGTTATCAGCAAGCCATGTGAGTAATCTCTTTCCTTAAATGCAGTGAAGAGGTTTAATATATGGCATGTCAGTAAAGCAGTTATTTTACAGTTGTGCTTCTGGAATACTGAGGAAAGGCTATAGCTTTTTAAAGATAAGTTGGTCAGTTTTGCTTTTCTAAAATGCCTCGCTATACTTGTATTTGGAAGAAAAATTTAACATAATGTGATTAAAAACTACTGCTACTTAATAAAAAGACCTTGTAACACAGTTCAGTTGTAAGCTGTGTGAGGAGGCCTTCTGAAACTAGGCTTGTGTATGATGAAGTATCTCTCCCTTTAAAGTAAATGGGATGTTTTAAGTGTCCTTAGTCTTGAGTAATGTATATGCTAGACGAAAGGCTTGGCAGATAAAGGTTGATTTGATCTTTGACAAGACTGCATTGGGCCATTACATTATTACCGGAGAAAATTTCTACTAAAGGCCAAGTGGGCTATTTAGTCTGTAGGGTCTTATGGACTGGCTCTATTTGTTTTTCTAGCATGAAGCTCTGTAAAACTGAATATAACTTTTGCTCAAATATTCAGAGTGGCACAATCACACAATTACATTAGCAAAATCATTGGAAAATGACATCTAACAAAATTATGATGTCAGTTGCCTGTGTGAAATTTAACAGTATGTTTACCCTGTACAATCCCCACCTGTATGAAGAAAAATTATAAGTAATGTTAACTTTACATAAGGAGCACGAGTAGTTTGAAGTGAGATACTGAATGAAATTTTAGCAGTGAATTACCTTTACTTGATGGAAATTTATCAAAGTTACTGGTAGCTTCTATAGACCCAGCTCCCAGTGAAATGAGCAGAATCTGAGTATGAAGCTGTGAGGCACTTTTTAATCTTAGGTTTATTTACCTTGATTACATTCTTGTTGTAGGAGAAACCTTCAGGAGTTGTTATTAAATTTTTCTGTGCTTGAATGTTTTATGCCTTTTAAATATGTAGCAATGTAAATATTTTTAAATGTATGTAGAGACTTGCTGAAACAAATCAGTGGTGGTTTTACAGGTTGTGGAAATGGTTGCTATGATTCTGCTCTGCCTTCTTAGTGTGTTAATATTAGAGGAAAACATATTGTGCCAGATCTGACAGCCTGAGAGGGGTGAGGCTGCTGCAGCTCCATGTCCCCAGGTCCAACCAGTAGCAAGGCTGAAGATGTAGTCCCAATAGGTAGAGCACACAGAGCACACACACGCGCCACATATATACATAGCTGGCCACACAGGTAACACAGACACACAGCACTCATACAGACACAGATAGCAGCAACAGCCTCATCCTGCTCCCCCCT